ATAATAGCTCATATTATCAATCAATAATTGTATAACCTAATATCATCACTAAAAAAAATCATTTATAATTTTGTTAATTCATATTTTAACGAGATAACTATAGTTTGCTTAATTTATTTTTCAATAAATCATAAGATCATACCAAATCTATCTTAATAATGTTTTATAAAGATAATATTAAGAAAAAAAATTTTTTATGCTAAATCTGAATATTCTATCATTATGTTTTATTATCTAACCATTGATAAAAAAGATTCCAAACTTCATAAAATTGTTTATCTTCTTGTTCTCTGATTTCAAATGTCAATTTACTCATTTCAGCACAATCCAATATTTTCTTAATAGTTTCTTCTTCTGATGGAGTTTTCTCACTCTTCCAGTTCTTAGCAAATACAATCCTAGCCGCTGTTAATATATTTACAATCAAATACTTCAAATTTTTATTATATATATCAAGTAAGATTCCCAATAAAAAAATCTCTGGTTTCAAGTCTATATGTGTCTTTGTCATTTTTTCCAACCATATGCGAATTTTAGTCCAATATTTTCTAGCGTCCTCACAAGTCCACCACATATGGTAGTATGAGCCAGGTATCTGATGACATTTCCAACATTTTTCAGATTTGTTCTTAAACAAATCCCTTCCAACTCTTGATTGTCTGTTAATCTGTTAGTCCGTTTAGTTCCCACTCGTGCGCTATCCAGGATGCCCCACAGGGGGCAAACTAGCTCCACACCAGAAAGACGAGCGGCATCCTGTGGCGTCATCCGGGGCCACTTCTCGTCACCTGTTGCCTCGCAGTGGGGCATCCATCTCTGGCAGACCTCTGACCACAACAAACCCTACCATGTTTCCCACTGAAGTGGTACTAATTTATCTACTCGCAGGTTGCCGCTTTCAAACAATTAAGTGGGCAGAAGCTGAGGCAAGTGACGGGAGATTCCTTCTGTCATGCAGTGCTAGGACTCGAACCGCTGGAGCAGTGACTGGCTCCAGGGTGTTAAAACCACTGAGCTACTGTGCCTATTTTGACAGGTAGAACCACATGGGCCAGTCCTTACATGCCTTTCTATGTTGGCGGTCCGGAGGAGGGAGAGATTGGAGCCTTTATTCATACATGGGCATATGCGAACAGGGCCGCCAGCGCGTACAGGATGTAAATGGGACAAGCATGCACAACGCTCGCAATGCTAGCGCCTGCAGAATGTTTGTGGTGATGCTACCGTGATCGGGAATGCATGCATACACACACACACACACCTGTCATGCCCCTGGTGGAGACTGACTCTGAGGAAGAGGAGGAACAGCCAACAGGGAATGGAAGTGTGGCTCCGGAGGTTGTGGAGGAGGCTGGGGAAGGGCAGAGGCCAGCTGAGCAGTCAGAGGAGGACCCAGGCCCATCCTCTATCCATCCTAGGACACGCAGGGAGGAGAGGATCAGGGTAAAACGTGGTCTACTCTGGAGGAGAGGGCCATGATCCTCTTCATGGGTTGCAGGTGTGAGATCTGCATCAGAGTTTGGACCTGCGTGCTAACAGACGCTGGAAACAAATTAGTGTTTTATTCTTAAAGAAGGTTTATCTTGGTTGGCGTTCTTCCAACAGACTGTCCCTGGTTGTTACCTTCCTGAAGTTGGCCATTATTTATCCTGGTCTGTCAAGGAACTTTATTCAATGCGGTTTGTTTTTGGATTTTTGCTTCGTTATCGGCTCTTTGAATGTGAACTGTGTTTCTTGCCTTTGAAATGTTATTTTGAAAATAGTTGACTCCTCCACTGTGAACAATTAAACAGTGAAGCCAAGTTGAAGGCATCAAAAGGACTTTTAGTTAGGTTTTGGTTTGTGTTATGTTTCTGATATACTCTGGGTCATCACACACACCCATGCACTGGCCGGCCACTCACACGGCCCAATGGTTAACACGCCACAGTCCAGACGTGGTAGGTTGGGGACCTGTGCCTTAGACTATCTTAATGGGTGGAAGTGGAGGGGTTAAGGGCAAGGGATCTGCCCTTGGACCCCCGGCCTTTAGTCGCTGTGCGAACACCAACACCTGCTCATCAGAACGTGTCTCCAAGCCTGATTTGAGTATTCACTTATATTCTGCTTCGCTCGCAGCTTGACAAAAGAATCGGGTGGTGGGGTGGGACATTTGAAATTAGAGGACAAGAGGATAAACAATTTTATGAAGTTTGGGACCTTTTCTATCAATGGCTAGATAATAAAATATAATAATAGAATATTTAGAAACTTAGGAAATAATGAATATATATTTCTTTTTCTCTCTCTCTTTTTTTGGATAATATCTTTATAAAATTTTATTAAGATAGACTCGGCAAGTTTTTATGATTTGTTATAAAATAAATTAAGGAAATTATAGTTATCTCGTTAAAGTATGAATTAATAAAATTATAGTCAAATGATTGTTTAATAATGATATCAGGCCATATAATTGTTGGTTGATAACATGAGCTATTATGTAATATAACTACAATGGAGACTACAAAACGGATGCACAAAAAAAAGTGGTAAACCAACCGATACACTGTCTGTAAACTCATGAAGGAAAGGATGATGTTTTTATGTTTTATGTGTTTTTGTTTGTTGTTAAAATCAATAAAACTTTTTTTTTTTAAAAAGAATTGGCTGGTGGGGGAGGATTGGAATGTCAGTTCTCTGGAAACGCTGCTCTCGCTTCAAGGACCGCCCCCCGAGCAGATGCCACAGCGGGACCAACCGGTTCCCATAACGAAATGAAGTGATTGGTGGACGTAATACATTGTGGGTGGCTTGTGGAGAAAAGGGGGAAGGAACTATGCGCGTCTCAGCCAATCTTCTGGGTCCTGAAGACTTGCTTGAATAAACAAACCACCTCTCCTTTGTAACGTGGTGACAATATTGCTTTATTCGCACACAATCACCCACCTCCGGCCAGAACGGCATCCGCCTGACTCTTAATTGCCCCTCACTTCTTTAATCCTGGTCTGTCATTACCCTACCTATTCTCCACGCTCCCGATCTATTAGCCACCTGTCTTCCTCTCTCACCCCGGATCCTTACAGCTACCATCACCAGGTGCTCCCGCTCACCGTCCCATCGGTGTGCACCGGCCACCCCGCCATCCCAATCCCAGGCAGTCCACAGGCGGGTCTGTCAGGTTGCTGAGCCACCGTCTCTTGCCATCTGAACTTTCGAAGCTGCAGCGGCTGGCGCGCGAAAACAGTTCCAAGGGTTCGGACCTGCAGCAGCCGGCACGTAACCTTTGGCTCATCAGGTCGGCTCGTTAGTTCAGAATCGCGACGGCAGACGCATGACGGATCCTCTGACAGTTCGCCAATGACAGCGTGCTTTGGCGCGGGAAGCCCAGAGCTGCTTTCGCTTCTTCTGTGCAATGTCAACTCATAAAACATTTTGTATACACGTTTTATAGTTGTCGAAAGGAAGGAGGGGGGGAGTTTCAAAGAACAGGTGGCAGTGTTTCAAAGAACAAGCGGAATCGAAAGTGCATTCCATTCATATTTTCTTCAAAGACTGATTAGATGACTGAAGCTTCTGCCATGCAAAAATCTAGTTGGAGAGCATGATTGATGACTCTTGGCTATGGATGTGTTTTGTTGGATGATACACCCAGAGGGGTGGGGGTGGGGAAACAGGATCAAGGGTGGCAGTGAATTACGTATCTCAGAGTCGGCTATGCCCAGGCTAATGCCGGCATGTTAACTTCTAATAAAGCCTTTGAAGTTTTGGGAGTTTGGCTCGAGGCTCATGATTTAATTGGAGTAACTGCTGTTATCCTGACAGTGGATTTAATTCAGTAAAGTTTGCACTCTTGGTAAAACAATATCCCGAGGAGTTTCTTTTTCCGGATTCTCCAACTGGACAGTCGACACACAGCAGTAACCACCATCTGGATTTTTTCACCCGCTCTTCCACCCCTCCGCCGCCTCTGTGGCAATTAAGGGACACGGGTTGAATCGCAGCCAAGGAACAAGACAGCATGATCCACGCTTGAATTAATTTAAATTTTATTTAAAAGTTCATTTATTGAATATTCATTATTAAAAGTTCACTTACTGGATATTATTACTTTCTGTACATTTCCCAAATGGTTTAAAAAAAATTACTATTCGATGGGTGTTTCGCTACAGTTATCTGCCCAACTCATAAAATCCTGATGATCTCTTTGGAAGGAAGGATTCCAAATCTAGAGCCAGACTGTAGCTCTCTTGGGACTGATGTCCCCCCCAAAAATAAAAATCACGGAGTAGGGAAAAGAGGGGAAGGAGAGCATCTCCAATGCTCAAGGGACAGGAAGATCTCCCCAGATACAAAAGGAGTAGCCACTCAGAGGCCCCTTTGTCATTTTGAGACGCAGCTCTGGCAAATATCTAAGAGCAGCTTCTCAACGTAAATCAAGAATGCCCTAACTAGACAATAACATCATTATTTCTACTTTGTTGTATCTAGTCTTTCTATTCTGACCTAGACCTCCCAAGATCATGAAGCAGGAATCCTCATCCTGATAAAAAAAAAACCCTTTTTTATATAGGAAAGTGAATTCCCCTCCAGCAAAGTCCTGGCAAACAGTCTTTCGTAAGATTTCACAACTACAGACCTTTTATCAGGCTTGGAGAGTTGCCAGGCCGTTATCTTCCAAACGCCACGCTGTAGCAGCAATGACTTGGCAAGAAGTCAGGAAGGAGATCTTCACTCTTAATGAATGGAACTAATTGTCTCCTGTAAACACCACGCCCCTTTCGCTCCTCTTTATTCCCTAGGGGAGGGGCCATTCGCCATCCACTTAAGCCTTTACTCCCGAGTCGACCCTTGTTCCTTAGCTCTTCCCTTTTCCTGGCAGCTCTGTGCATGCGCCCACTGGGAACAGGCTCCAGCTGTTCTTCTGCCCCACTGATCTCCGACTCCAAAGGCAGCTGATAACTGTCAGACAGCGCTATCTCTGCCTCCGATGCAGAGCCCTTGTCAGAACCTTCCCTAGACTCCAGGATTGGCCCACGTTCCTCTGCAACCTCCTTACTGTCCGAGTCTGTCTGCCAGCAGCTGCTGGACCACAACACTTTCTTCATCTCCTTGGTCAGCCAATTCCTTTCTGCAGGTAGTCCTTGACTTATGACTGGTCGCTTAATGGGCGTCCAAAGTGACGACGGAGCTGCCTTGCGGGTATTTACTACCTAGATTCAAAGTTACAATAGTCACTCCTCCCATGGTCACGCAATCACACTGCGAGCATTTGGCAACCGGGCCATGTTTACAGCTATTAGCAGGGCCCTGTGGTCACGTCACCAGCATTTATTTCTGGCTTCCATTTAAACAGCCCCATAACAAACTATCTGTTCATTTAATGGCCACCACCAAAAAGTTTGTAACATCGTAACTTCCGGCCATAATGGGCAGACTCCATTACAGTCGTAACTCAAGGACTACCTGTATCTGATTACCAGTTTCCTCCCTTTTTATTAGCAGTCACGCTATTATGCAGCCGACTTGTGCAGGATTGACCAGTTGCGATGCTGCTTTCCAATGAGGAACATTTCTCAACTCTCTTGTAAGCCAACTAATCAGGAGAAAACTCACTTAGCTACAGAAACCTCAAGCGATAAGAGAATCCTTCAAGCACCATTAAAAATAAAATAAAAGGAAAGGAAAAAAAAGAATTATTTTCATGTACAAATACCCAAACAATAACACACCACAAGAAAAGCCAATTCTTGCGTTCATACCAGCCCTGGATGAAAGGAAGGAAGGAAGGAAGGAAGGAAGGAAGGAAGGAAGGAAGGAAGGAAGGAAGAAAGAAAGAAAGAAAGAAAGAAAGAAAGAAAGAAAGAAAGAAAGAAAGAAAGAAAGAAAGAAAGAAAGAAAGACAGGAAGGAAGGAAGGAAGGAAGGAAAAGGAAAAGGAAAAGGAAAGGAAAGGAAAGGAAAGGAAAGGAAAGGAAAGGAAAGGAAAGGAAGGAAAGAAAGAAAGCAAGAAAGGAAAGGAAAGGAAAGGAAAGGAAAGGAAAGGAAAGGAAAGGAAAGAAGGAAGGAAGGAAGGAAGGAAGGAAGGAAGGAAGGAAGAGGAAATAACAAAGGGATTTCTTTCGTGCTCCCATCTTCCAAAGAGTTCAGAGAAATAGCTTCTCCATTCATAAATTATGAAGCTCCACTTAGCTATGGAATTAACCCATTTGTGGGGAATCACACAACTACACAAAGCGGTGGAGAGGATTTACACAACTTAAGTCACAAAAGATAAAGGAAGCAATACAAGGAAGCAACTTTGCCATGGTTTATAAACTCAGTGATGCAATTCTTCTCCTTCCCTATTCTCAGCGTTCAAATCTTCACAACGCCCCTAAGGGTCGGTCAGTCCAAGTATCAGATCCATGGATCTGCCATTCTTCAGTGGAAGAAGAAGAAAAAAAAAGGAGCGGGTGGTGGTGTGTTTGATACAAGTAATCCTTTTTGATGTAACCTGAATATCTGAATTCTTGTACTGAATCTGTATAACTTGCACATGATATACAACTGGGGGACTGGAGCCCAGATGCCTGGAAACTTGTCACCTCTTAAAGAGATAGCAAGAGGAGAAGAGGGGGCCATAAAAATCCCAGCCTCGAAAGAAACTTCCTGGGAAGTTCTTCTCAACTACAATCCCAGGAAAAAAAAGGGGTGGGTAGGGAATTAACATGTTGCTTCTTTGCATTGAGGAAATCCACACCGGACTAAGGGGGGGAGGGGTTCTAACTCCCTTTATCTAAGCTGCATGCCTGGAGGCATACTAGACCCTGCTTTGAACGTCACCTGGATCTTTTTTCTTTTTCAATAAAGAGATCCTGTTGAAATACCCAGCTTTCAAAAGTTCTGTGATGACCCTTATCGCAAACGTAATAAAATTCCCAAACGTGAATAAATTTCCTTTAATGCCTCCAACTTGGCCTCACTGTTCAATTGTTCCCAGTTGGGAGATTAAAACTCTTCCCAAAAAGAGTCTCCAAAAGAAAGAAATACCGTCCAAACTCAAAGAACAGATAACGGAGAAATTTAAAAAAAACAAAACTGAAGGAATTTCCACAACAGATCAGGATAATTAATTACAAACTTCAAGAAGATAACAAGGCACAGTCCCGTTGGAAGAATGCCAACCAAGATAAACCTCAGCCAGAAATAAAACATGCTTTGCTTCTAGCAATGCTGTTTTAAATGCCCCTCCTTTATACTATTCCCCCCAGCTGCAGCCAATGAGGGGGATCGTGGCCGCTTCCTCTCCCGTAAGCCACATTGTTCCCTTCTCCATTCCTCCCTGCATGCCCTAGGACGAAGAGATGGGCCTGGATCTTCCTCTGACTACCCAACTGGCCTCTGCCCTTCCCCAGCCTCCTCCACAACCTCCGGAGCCACACTTCTACTCCCTTCTCGGCTGTTCCTCCTCTCCCTCAGAGTCAGTCTCCAACAGGGGCATGACAAGTTCATTCTTATTGTCTGAAGGGGAGAGAGTCCGGGCCTTACACCAAGAGTCACCAATGGACCTGAGGGATATTCAAGGTTGCATTTTGATGGCCGTCGATAAAACTGTCCGGAAAACTAATGAGAGCTCACTGGGGGCGGAAAAACACACACCGCAGTGTATTTTTTATTTTATTTTATTTTTATGAATAAGAGATTTGAACCCAGGACTCCCAGGTCCTCTGCTGAGCATAGAACTCCTTTCAGGGTAATTTTAGGTAGTCCTCAGTTTACAATCCTCCGTTTAATGACTGTTCGCATTGACAACAGTACTGGGGAAAAAAAAGCGATTTATGACTTTTGAGGGGATCGATGGCTGTTGCGGAAGCCCCAGAGTCACCTGATCGAAACTTGGACCTTTAGCAACCAACTTGTATTTATGACAGGTTGCAGTGTTCTCGGGAGGGAGTCACATGATCCCCTTTGGTAACGTCCTGAGGAGCTAAGTCAACGGGAGAAGCCGTTGATTCCCTTTATGACCGTGTGGTTGACTTAACGACTGTTGGAACTCACTTAAACCACCCGTGACAGGAAAAGTCGCGTAATGGGGGACAAAACTCACTTTTGACTGTGTCGTTTAGCAACAGAAACGCCGCACTCGGTTGTGGTTGTTAAGTCGAGGACTAATGTTCTTGACCCAGCTCCCAAACGGAACAAATAAATGTTCCTGTCAACTCCTAAAATATTTATCTGGTCTTTTTAGAGTTGCAACAGGAGGGGACGGGGGAGCAGCGCAAGCAGCTTGCAAAACCGAAAGTGCGCTCCCATAAATAGTTTTCAAGGATAGTAACTAGGTGACCAAAGTTTCTGCCGCACAAAATTCTAACTGGAGATCACGACTGATGACTCTGGGCTATGGATGTGTCCCATTGGAGAATATGAATTATGATACACTCGGGTGGTGGTGGAGGAAAACCAGGGTCAAAAGTGGCAATGAATGATGTGTCTCAGAGTCGGCTACACCCAGGCAGTGCTGGACATGATAACTCCCAATAAATCCTTTTGAAGTTTTGGAAGTTTGGCTCGAGACTCATGATTTAAAAGGTAGGCGGGTAACTGCCGGAATCCTGGCAGTTCCCTTTATTAGGAGCGCCAGCAGCCCTAGCAAAATCAATCTCTCTCTCTCTCTCTCTCTCTCTCTCCCTCCCTCCCTCTCTCTCACAGCAGGCTAACAAGTCTGTCCAGCAGGGAGATGAATAGTTGTCTGTCAAACTTAAGGATTACTGTCCCATGCCTTTTATCCCCAGAGCTTAGGGTGGGGCTTTGCCAGCAGCAGTGGCTCTTCGGTCCCAAGGCCCGCTCCATAGATTTCCACTGCTCTCCTCTCCTCTCTGCCTTCTGTGCAGCTGCTTGTCAGGCACTGGACTCAGCTGTTCCTTCTCTTCCTCATCAGCCAAACCTCCAGACCTGGGGGCTGTTAACTCTCCATCTGAGGGCTGATGGATGGCCCAGGCTCCACCCTTCTCTCTCTCTCCGCCAGTTCCTTTCCTTCTTCCCCTCGGAGCTCCCAGGTTGCCTTGACGCTGACTCCGATCCCCACGCCTCCTCTTCCTCCTCTGATTCAGCCGCTGGAGGGGGAGCCGGCCGATGGGTCACAACAACTACCTGCAATCACCTGTTATGGTGCCTTAGCCTTAAGCTTATCACGTGAAACAGAAAACTGCTCTGCATTAGATCCCACCATTAACAGACTAACGCAGTGGTGGCTAACCTTTTTGGACTCCTGTGCCAAAAATTGTGAACGCGCTTACACGCTCGCGCTCGCCTGCCAGCACCTAGGAGTCAATGCCTGCCCCTCCGCCTCCTACTCATGCGTGCGCAATCTCCCCCTCCCTGCCACCGCCTCTTACCTGCGCTGTACCTCAGAGCTGATTTTCGGCCGGTTTGAGGCCTTTTTCGGAGGCTCGAGGAAGGCTTCTGCAGGCCCAAAACTATCCCGGTTTCATCACTTTCAGTATTTTCAGAAAAACAGGAAGTGACGAAACGGGGCTGGTTTTTGGCCTGCAAAACCTGCAGAAGCCTTCCTCAAGCCTTTGGGAGGCCAAAAAAGGCCTCAAACCAGCCGAAAATCAGCTGTGAGGCGCAGGCATGTGCAGTGAGGTAAGTTTGCCTGTAACTCATGTGCTGGCACAAATGGCTCTGCGTGCCACCTGTGGCAGGTGTGCCATAGGTTCACCATTACAGGACTAAAGGTAGTCCTTGACTTACAGCAGTTCATTTAGCGACTGTTCAAAGCTACACTGGCGCCACCGAAAGAAGTGACTTATGACCGTGTCTCACATAACAATGGCAGCGTCTCCATGGTGACATGATCAAAATTCAGACCCTTGACAACTGACTCATATTTATGACGGTTGCAGTGTCCTGGGATTATTAACCACCCCTTTTGCGATCTTCCAATAAGCAAAGTCAACGCGGAAGCCTGATTCATTCAACGACTGTGTGGCTAATTTAACAACTGCAGTAATTCACAACAACCGTGGCAAGAAAAGTCCTAAAAAAGGGGCAAAAAACTAACTTAGCAACAGAAACGTTGGGCTCATTTGTGGTCGTAGGTTGAGGACTAAAAAAAACAAAACAAGATTAGACACTAAAAATAATCAGAATTATTTATTGCCGCCTCTCGAATAGGAGCCCAGAAGTCAACAGATATTGCTTGTGAAATAAGAATCCCAAAATGTCACTCAAATTGAGGAGTTAACCTCCTGTCAGTTAGGAAACTTAAAACGATCAAAAGTGCCTGAGTAACACAATGGCATTATCAACTCTCCCTCACACTGATGGTGTTACCCAGCCAGGTAATAAAATGTTCTGCAAGGAAACCAACCCCCAGGAAGAAAGCAGCAAGAACCCAACATTTTTAGTCTACCCAGAGAGGCCTAAAACTACACACACAGACACATACACACACACACACCCCTCGCACACACTCAGCTGGTTTAATACAGCACTACAGGTCTATAACTCTGAGGGGAAAAAGGGAAACTTCTTTGGTTCTTTGCACAAGCTAGAAAGGAATGTTTCCAACAAAACTGTTAAGTGTTAAACTGACAGCCACACAGACACTGGGGTGTGCGTTCACACAAGACATCAACTCAAAAGCAAACGAAACACAGGAGGCCTTGGTGCAGGGGTCCCCAACTTGGGTTGTTGGCTACCGGGCCCTGTGTGTGACTAGCCAGTGCGTGCGTGTTTGCTCACACACACTCCCACTAGCGTCGCCGCAAATGTTGCATACACACTCATGACCCCGTTCGTGCCAAGCACACGTGTGTAAAGGTGCCTGACCCCCACCCCCAGGGCCAGCAACCCAGAAAAGTTGGGGAACTTTGCCTTAATGCAAAGGGGTCTTCGGGTTTAAGGCTCGGGGACTTCAACTCCCAGAATTCCTGAGCTAACGTGACTGGAGGAGGAATTCTGGGAGTTTGAAATCCACAAGTCTTAAAGCTGTCAAGCGTGAAGACCCATGATTTAAAACTCCAACGGAGTCTGGAGATTTAACAGATTAACAGAGTTGGAAGGGACCTCGTAGGTCATCTAGTCCAACCCCACCCCATCCAAGCAGAAGATAAGCAGCCGGACAGCCGACTCTCCAGGAAGTGCTTTCCTGCACACTACAGAGGGTTGGATTAGATGACCTTTGCTGTCCCTTTCAGTTCTGCAGGTCTTTGATTTAACTGAATGGTCTTCAAACTTGGCAAGTTTAAGAGTTGTGGACTTCAACTCCCAGAATTCCTGATCTAACGTGACTGGAGGAGGAAAACTGGGAGATGAAGTCCACAAGTCTTCAAGCTGTGTTTCAAGCATGGCTACCATAAGACTTGTGGACTTCAACTCCCAGAATTCCTGATCTAACGTGACTGGAGGAAGAATTCTGGGAGTTGAAGTCCACAAGTCTTCAAGCTGTCAGGTTTGAAGACCCCTACCTCAGTGTGATAGGGTGAACCGGAGGGACAATTCCCTAGTGGTCACAGACTCCGTTCCAAAACAAACCAAGGCTGAGAGGGTCACATGGCACATCAAACCCAGTTAGTTTTATCCCTGAGTTCCAGAACTAACCCAACTACCTGAACTTCACACAACCCACTGAACCCTGAATTAACTGCGCGTAGCTGGCCAGACAGTCCCAATCTGGGAGGAGATTGTAAACAGGTAGTCCTCGATTTACAAACATTCGTTTAGTGGCCGTTCAAACAGTTCATTTAGTGACCGCTCAAACCATTCCATTTAGTGACCACTCCAACAAATCCACGACTGTTTTTCACACTTTTTGACTGTTGGTAGCATCCCGTGATCAAAATTCAAACTGACTCGTATTTATGACCGTCGCAATGTTCCTGGGGTCAGGGGATCCCCTTTTATGGACCTCCTGCCAAGCAAAGTCAACGGGAGAAGCCAGATTGGCTTGAACCACCAAGTCGCAAAGTTAAAAAACTGCAGTGACTCATTTAACGACAGCGGCAAGAAAGACTGTAAAAACAGGGCAACATTCCCTTTAAAACAAATCTTTCGCTTCAGCAACAGGAATTGGGGGCTTGGTTGTGGTCGAGGACTACCTGCAGGGTGGAATAGTTCCGGTTGCCCCCCCAAAAAGGAAGCCGAGGAGATGGGAAGAAAGATGAGGAGAATTTCAAGGATGGTGAAACTTCTGGATAATACGTGAAGAGCCATCAGATTTTTCTGGAGCAGGGGTCTCCAACCTTGGCCACTTTTAAGACTTGTGGACTTCAACTCCCAGAATCCTCCAGTCAGCATAGCTTGTGGACTTCAACTCCCAGAATCCTCCAGTCAGCATAGCTGGCTGAGGAATTCTGGGAGTTGAAGTCCACAAGTCTTAAAGTGGCCATGGTTGGAGACCCCCTGCTCTGGAAGGTGTGGATTCATTCAGGACTATAGAATGGAAGTCTACTGAAGGATATCCAAGCTTTTATGAGGAGGAATTTATTGATCAGAAAAGCCACTAAACTAGGGTTCCCCAAACTGTGGGCGGCGACCCACTACTGGGCCACGGCCTATTGGTCACCAGGCCACGGGTGTAGCTGGCTGACGCGCGCACGTGTGTGCTTACAAATGTTGCAGGCTGTCAACTCGTAAATCATTCCTATGCTGGTTTCCGAGTTGCCTTAAGAACGGGAGGGGGGGAGGGTAAAGACATGAGGGAGCAGTGTAGCAGATGAAGTCCAGGAGCACATTCCACGCTTATCTTGCGGAGATTAGTCTAGGCTACTGGCTAGGCTGCCCTTCCCACAAAAATCCTTCATTGGAGAATGTGATCGATGACACCCAGCTCTGAGAATGGTTGGAGAATCTGATTTATGACATTCAAGGGGATGAGGGGAAAACAGGGTCAGAGGGGATAGTAAATTACGTGTCTCGGAGTTGGTTTCATAAGGGTTAATGCCGGACACGTTGCTCCTAATAAATTTTTGGGATTCTTTTGAAGCTTAGCTCAAGGCTCATGATTTAATTTAGGGCAATCCTCGGAACCCTGACACAGGCGCTCGCAGCCCCACTCGTGCGGGCCCTTGAAGTCCCTTCACGCGAACATCACCGCGTGCGTCACCAGCGCTCGCGACTCTTCTCATGCATGCAACTTAACTGTGGGCAAGGAAGGTTGCACAATGTGGCTCAACTCACTTAACGCCTGTCTTGCTTAGCAAACGGATACTTGGGGCTATGGTGGTCGCACGTCAAGAACCACCTGTAGTTTCCCCGAAACTACAACAAGAGGGGACTTCTTGAAATCTCCACTGTTAATGACCTTGGTCTTGCCAACTACCGTGACGCCTGAAATACCACATTCCCAGACTGCAGACCGAAAAAGCTGAGTTAGTGTTGTGGGAAACGTAATTTTCGAGGGGTGGAAAAATGGAAATGATACAAGTGGAAGTCTGTGGAGATTTTTCAGTCATCCAGCTCATGGTTGTCCCGAAGATGCTTTTTCAAGAGGCAATTGGATTTTCTCGTTTCGTTTTTTTGACGTTTCGCTTCTCATCCAAGAAACTTCTTCCTTCAGCTCTGGCTGGATGGTGAGGAAATTAAAGGATTTATACTCCTTGTAGACAAGCTGGTCCTTTGCATCCTTTTTAGAGAGTCGTTGAGACCACTTGGAAGTCTATGTGTGTCCTGAGAGTCACAGAAGTGGAAGGATAAGACATCGAATATCTCCCGTCTACCCCACAGTCCTTTCATCGAGTCCAAAACAGCTTTGTCAACTCATAAAATATTTCTATAGTCTTTTTAGAGTTGCCAGCAGAAAGGGAAGGAGGAGCAGTGCGGCAGCTTGCAAACCGAAAATGCATTCCATAAATGCTTTCAAAGATCGTAACTAGGTGACTGAAGTTTCTGCTGTTGTGGGCCGTGGTGAGTCCCGTGGGCGTTGTTGGAGGGGCGCACACAGCTTCTTTTAGACAGGCTGCAACTCGGGTCAGGGGAGGGTGAGTCAGTGGGTCACCAGGTTGTCAGGATGGACGGCACAACCTACCATCGGACCCCCCGTTCTTGCCTTTTTTTTGCCCTCCACCCCACGGAAATCCCGGAAGGCGAGAATAGAGGTAGAGTAGAGGTGGGGTAAGGAGCTTAGTTTCACTTTTCAAAGTGACTCTTTTATTGCTTTTAAAATCAGGATTAAAATAATAAAAAAAAACAGATAAAAATGCAGACAAGGTCAAAGGAAAAGAAACATACACAGAATGTACTTTTTTTTTAAAATGAAAAAGACGTGTAATGTCAACTCTTAAAATATGGTCTTTTTAGAGTTGCCAACAGAAAGGGAAGGGGGAGCAGTGCGGCGGCTTGGAAATCGAAAGTGCATTCCATAAATAGTTTTCAAAGAAAGGAACTAGGTGACTTGAAGTTTCTGCCGCGCGAAATTCTAACTGGAGAGCATGACTGATGACTCTGGGCTATGGATGTGTCCCATTGGAGAATATGAATTACAATACACCCAGGTGGTGGGGGGAAAAAACAGGGTCAAGGGTGACAATGAATGATGTGTCTCAGAGTCGGCTACACCCAAGTAGCTCCGGCATGTCGTCTCCTAATAAATCTTATCTTGAGCTTTGACATTCAGGCTCATGATTTAAATGGGGGTCACTACTGGAGTCCTGACTGGCTTCACCACTCAGGTGAACCCGACGACATAAGATAAACCTCCAAGAAGCCTCAACAGCTCTCTAAAAAAGAATGCAAATGACCAGCTGCCTGCGAGGCGTAAAATCCTTCCGTTCCTCACCAACCAAAGACGAAGCAGCTTCTTGGATGAGAAGAAGAAAGTCCAGTTGTCTCTCGATTAAAAAAAAAAGCATCTTTGGGATACAAATGGAAGTAGTCTTTGGCCTCTTCAGAGTAGCATCCTAACTCAAGAAGAACTCCAAACCACGCCAAGTCAACCGAGGCCGCAGAAACCCACGCCTGGCATATCTATAGGCAGGAATGCTTTTGTGATTGTAGGTTTATGTCTCTGCTGCCCTAAATGGTGATTCTACTGTGTTTCTCATCAACCGGAGCGGGGTGAGGTGGGGTTGAATAATAATAATAATCATAATCAAACGACACTGAAAACGCTACCGGGCCCATCCACGGGCAGCCTCTCTCAGTGGTGGTGCTTGATAAAGTTTGAGTTGTCACTGAACCTCTTCCCGCAGACCGAGCACTCGTAAGGCTTCTCGCCCGTGTGGATCCGCTTGTGGACGATGAAGTTGGAGTAGTCATTGAAGCGCTTGCCGCAATCCAGGCACTTGTAGGGTTTCTCGCCCGTGTGGATGCGCTTGTGGCGGGTGAGGCTCGAGCCGGTGTTGAAGCCCTTCCCGCAGTAAGAGCACTTGTACGGCTTCTCACCTGTGTGGACCCGCTGGTGGATGAGGAAGGCGGCCCGGCTGACGAAGCTCTTCCCGCACTCAGAGCAGTTGTACCACTGGTCGCCTGAGTGGGTCCGCTCGTGGGCGATAAGGTTGGAACGGCGCCGGAAGACCTTGCGGCAAATCAGGCAGGTGTTGTCTGGCTCGCTGGGGAAGAGGCTGGGCTGCAGGACGCTCTCGTCCAAGTCCTCGTAGGTCCCCTGGGAATTGATGAATTTGCCCTCCGCCTTCTCCTCGCTGTTCCAGTAGAGGGTTTCAGAAGCTTCTCCCGGATTGGGAGAACAGGAGACGCCGGGCTGGCCTCTACCGGACCACTCCCAACCTGACTCTCGGTCCTCGCTGTCTTCCTCGCAGAACTCCTCCTCATCTACATAAATGGATAGAAAAATCCATATACATTGAATCAATCAATCAATCAATCTGCTGGCATCCTCATTCTCTGTCCTGCATTTCTTATCATCCATCCATCCATCTATCCTCCATCTACCTACCATCTATCAATCAATCATCTACCATCTATTAATCAATATCTATCAATCAATCATCTATCTACCTACCATCGATCCATCTATCATCTATCAATCTCGTCTCCAAATAAATGAATGAAAATGAATAAATCAATCTGCTATAATTCTCTTTCTGTACCTCACATAATTTCTCATCATCTATATAAACGTTTTTATAAATATATAAGTAGATTGAATCAATTTCCTTGAATCTTCATTCTAACCTGCATAATTTTCATACATGTGTGTATATACACACACACATACATGCACGTGTGACATATATGTATGTTTAAAAAAATATATTCTGCACCTCAGTTAAATTTCTCATCATCTATATAAACAGTGATATAAAAGAAGAAACAGACATCCTGAGATCTCTGGAATTTAAAATTACATTTATTGTACTTACTAAACTTTCGTCAACCTCTGCTGACATCGACAGAGTATTACGCTACCATTACAGAGATCACTGCCTTTATATATCATTAATCTTACCCTTGCACGCGTAATAGGCCCTTTCAACATATATATATATAGAACACACACACATACATGTATGAAAATTATGCATGTTAGAATGAAGATTGAAGGAAATTGATTCAATTTACTTAGATATAAACATTAATATAAACATCTATCTAAGCAAATTGAATCCATTTCCTTCAATCTTCATTCTAACATGCATAATTTTCATACGTGTGACATATATGCATGTTTATAAAAAATATTCCATACCTCAGTTAAATTTCTCATCTATATAAACATTAACATAAACATCTAAGTAAATTGAATCAATTTCCTTCAATCTTCATTCCAACCTGCATAATTTTCATACATGTGTTTCCTACAGAATATATATATATTCTGTACCTCAGTTAAATTTCTCATCCTCTATATAAATATTTTTATAGACATATATTTAAGCAAATTGAAGCAATCCATCCGTCTCCATTGACTCTTCCTGTCAGGAGGCTGCAAAAGGAGATCACACAACCCCGAGATATTGCAACCGTCATAAATATGAACCGATTGCCAAAAATCCAAATTTTGATCACGTGACCATGCCGGGGGCGGGGGGAGAAATGCCACAACGGTCACGTCAACTTTTTTCAGTGTCGTCGTAATTCCGTTCACTAAACGAACGGTTGCGAGTCAAGGGCCACCTACCAATCAGGAGCTACCCACAGCGTTTTCCCAGAATGCTTTCCTTTCAGAAGGGGCAACAGGCCCCCAAAGATTCAGACACCCAAAGGCCCTCACCCAACAGCACCACGTGTCGGTCGCTCTCCTGCTTTGCCTCTCTAAGGGGGGCTCTCTGCCAGCTTTCCAGGGGAGCCTTCTCGGTCAAATGGTCCTTCTCCAGGAGGCTGATGGCCTGAAACAGAAGAGAGGCCCCCAAGCCCTTCAGTTTAGCAAGCCGGTTTCGGGACACGCTGGCTGAGCAACACCTCTGGATGCCTTTGGATCTATTGGGTGATCCTGTGATTTTTCCTGGCCGTGTTGGCCAACACTGTTTCCCTTGCCGCCGCCTCCGCCGCCTCCTCCTCAGGGCTGAGAAAGAGGGACTGGCCCAGTCACCCCCGACCCAACCTCATGTCCAAAGCAGATCTTGTTCCCTTTGGTTCTTCTAACTCCCAAGTATTCTTTCTATAACCTTCGTTTTCTTTCTCCTTCTTTCTTTCCTGCCTCCCTTCCCTTTTTCACCCTTCCTCCCTCCCCTTTTTCTCTCCTTCCACTTCCTTTCTTTTCCTTTCCTCTTCCCTTCTTTCCTTTTATTCCCTTTTCCTTTCCTCTTTCCTTTCATTCCTCTTTCCTTTTTTCCCTTTCCTT